ACGGCCGGGCTCACGGGCCAGTCTCCGGGCACCAGACCACAAGTGCCCTGAAGGCGGGGGCTGACGGCCGGGCTCACGGGCCAGTCTCCGGGCACCAGACCACAAGTGCCCTGAAGGCGGGGGTCTGGAAGACAGAGTATAGTGTCTCCTGCTGCAGAAAGGGCATGGAGGCGTGATGGAGAGTGAATGAAGACATTGAGAATAAATAGGGAAAGTGTGCGTGGCTCTGTGCTTAGAGCGAGAAACATACTGTTGAGAGTTGTCAGGCGGCTGGTGGAGCCAGAAGGCCTGGGTTGGGTGCTCTGCCCTGTACCTGCCGTGTGACTCAGGCCAGGTGACTGCTGCATGCCTCTCCCTTTCTCTCTTCAGTAGAGGGGATGTGTCATCATTCTTTGCAGGGCTGGTATCAAGGATCACAGAATAGATGCTTGTGTTTGGCACACAGCAGACCCTTGCACGTGGCAGCGTCACTGTGGCTCGGGGAGAGGCTTCTGGAGTGGGTGGGTATTGTGTGGGCCGTGAACGAGAGTCAGGTGGGATGTGCTGGCTGGTTGGCATGGACGGTTGATCACAGATCACAGGCCCTGGAGCCCTTGGGAGGGCCGAGTGGCAAGGCAATAGCAGACAAGGGAAAGGAGCCTTGTGTCCACGTGAGGGAAGGAGCAGCCAGACTTGAACTTGGCCACAAGGGCCCGTGGAAGTTCTGCAGTTGGCAAGCAGAAGGACTGGCTCCCCACCCCACCACCCCTGTCCCAACTTGGCAGCTATGACATTGGTGACAGAGAGATGTTGCCTTGGCACTGGGCTCCCCATAGGACAATGGCAGCTCAAACTACCCATGTCCCGGTACAGGTCACCTGGGACCACCTGGGGTGGCTGCCAAGACCACAGTGAAGTGGGGCCTGGGGTTCGATTCTGCCTGAGTTCGCAGTTCCACTCTTGCCCAGTGGCACTTTGCAGCGAGGCTTTCCTCAATCTCCTGGTGGAAATACTGTCCCTCTGGTCTCTCTCCACAGGTTTAAATCAGAGCGCCTAGATGTGATGTGGTGTTCACTTACACAGGTTGTCTGATTGCGTGTCTTTCTCCCCCACCCTGGAAAGCTGCCTCTTCTGAGGTTAGGAAATGGGTTTGTCTTGCCCTGGAGGCATGTTATTTATTGTATCTCGCTTGATCAGATCACAGGGTGACTCTCAGTGGTTTTATTTCGGTGTTCCTGAAGAGGTCAGACAGAGGGAAGCACTCTCTTTTTGAGCATCTGTATAACTTCATCAGCCAATGGTCCTGCTGAGGGGCAGTGGTGTGCGCACTGCACAGCTGAGAGCTGGGAGGTTTGGTGGGGCTGCGTAACTCACCCGACGTTCACTGAGCAGGAAGCCAGGAGCTTTATGCTGAATCACGCCAGTTCAGCAGAAGAGTAAAGGCTATTCCTTTGAGGTCTTTAGAAGGACATGTGTGTGTGTGCATGTATGTGTGTGTGTGTGTGCGTGCGCGCATGTGTGCTCACGTGTGTGTGTGTGTGTGTGTAGCACTGCCTGCTGAGGAATGCTCCTGGGCTCCTCGGCACTGGGTACCCTCTTTGTCCTCCGGGAGACACAGACTTTCAGGAAGAACTCACTCCTGTGTGAGGAGGCAGGATTTTGGGGGGCTGGGATTTCGGTCCAGCCCCTGGAAGCCTACGGCCTGTGAGGCGCTTGTGCCCCTGGGTAGGTGGGGATTTGCAGCCCCCTATGATGGGTGTGCTGCCCACCATACCATGGACAAACACGATGGGGAGGGGACTCCTCTGAGGGGGCTGGTGAAGGTCTGGGAGCACTCTGAGGACGGGGAGGCTTGGCTGGGCTTGCAGGGGTGATCAGGCCAGTCCGGGGACCCGAGGGCCTCTGCTGGAAGAGTGAGTTGGGAACACCAAGGCACAGCACTGCCCCAGGCCTCTTGCCCCCCTTGCTCTTTTCCCTGTCCCTCCCGCTGTGGCAGCTGTGCCCCCACTTATCACATGACCCAGAACCCCGCTTCTCTTTTTATCGGTTGCTCCCCAGAACAAACCCATTGTGGTGGTCTGGGTTATCTCCTGCTCTTCCTGGGAAGACAAGGGTGGGCTCTGCATCAGAAGACACAGAATGGTCCTGGTCAGGAATAAGACTCCGCTGGGTCCCTCCTTTCTGGCCGCTGAGTCCCTGCCCCACACCTGCAGGCTTGTACCCTATGGACAGTGACAGAGAAATTACCACCATTTCGTAAGCCACACATGTGACCGACACTATTCCATTCTAAGGCCAGAACACACCTGTGGGGTAAGCACGGTTAGTCTGATGTTTTCCTCTTGATGTAGCTGGAGCGCAGAAAGGCAGAGCAGGTATTTGAACAAGCACAAGGCAGGATTTGAACAGTTCTCTTGGAAGCCAAAGCCACGAGTCCTCCCTGCCTGGAGCTGAGGGACCCATTTCTGCTTCCTTCTTGGTCCCTGGTGAGGACGGTGTGATCTCGGGCAGGTTACCTCTCTAATCTGGGCCTTCATATCCCTGACTAGTAGGGAAACCACCTGCTTTCTAAGTCTGGACACTTGCGAGTGAAAGCTACGTGCTAACACTTGGTCTGGGAGGGCAGGTGCAAACTGCGGTTGCTGGGCAGACTAGACCCAGTGTTCCTTGGTCTTATCAGTTAGATGGTGGACAGTGCTGCTGGTCCTGCTGGTCCTGGTCCTGGTGCTGGTACCACTGCTGGTGAATTGGTGCTATTTCCTGCATCTGCAGCAGCCCCTCCACATCCTCCTTTGCAGCCACATGGACAGCTTGCATTTCCGCGTGGGGCACATGAGCTTGGCCTCATCTCCTTATCTCACAAGTCCATCTTTATCTGCTTGGAGGAGCCTGTGTCTCGTCAAGCTCTGTTACCCCAGACTCTGCTAGCGCAGGCCTGACCCTCTGTTTGTTTATTTTCACGGGAATCCGTGGTGGTGGACAGTACATACAGTCATCCTGGGGCTCGGGGTGCAGTGCCACTGTCCCACCGACACAGACACCCCAAGCCAGCGTTTCTAGAGATGGCTTATTGCCCTAGACCTACCAACAGGGGAGCCCGGGTCCCCTGGAGTCTACACAGGCTAGGCTGAGGGAAGGGCTGCGACTCATTCTCCAGACTGGGTCTGGAGCCCAGGCTTCTCAATGAACAGCCATGGGACTGCATCGTGGCTGGTGCTTATTAATGTCTGGAAATGTGCCTGCTTAACCTTCCAATCCAGCGAGATGGGTGTGGTGCCCCTTTTCTATATGAAGAAACTGAGGCTCAGAGAGATCCAGAGAGCTTCCCAACTTATCACTTATCTCTGGAGAGAGTGGAGAAGCTGGTACCTGCTCTCCAGTCTGTTAGCCTTCCGCCTCCCTTCGCCTGCTGGAACATTGGTTCTCAGTGTGCGGGGGGGTGTGCAAAGTGCCTGTAGGTTATTGAGGGACAGGCTGAGTTTAAAAAAAAAATTGTTTTATATTTACCTTCTCTTGAATTAGGAAAAGATCACAACACAGGAGACCGGTTGTTTGTGCAGCTGTCACAGCTTAGGACTTAGATATTTGAGATAAAAAAAGAAAAAAGCCAATTTTGCAAAGATATTGAGGTGACCACAGCAAGTAAACACAGCCCTCCTGAAGAGGGCCAAATTGGAGGGCAGTCCCCTCTGCTGTTTGTGCTCCTTCGGCTGCACGGCTCTAGCCACGTTCCCAGAGAACGTGTCTCTCTGCCCCGGACGCAACGGGTCTACACCCTGCTTCGTGTCGGAACACGTCTGCACCCTCGTTCACCGCGATCCTCCTGAAATACAGAGGATGCACGGCGCAGGGACCACACGGCTCATTCCGAAGCTAGGTGGGAAAACAGAATTGCAGAACCATGACACTTCATGATCCCGTAATTCTGCTTGAATTGACGGCAGCCCCTGATCATGGCCCAGGCAACGTATTGTATTTATTGAGCACCCAGAGTTTTCCAGTCACCTCCTGGATCACTGTCTGAGGTTGAATTATGAAAGAGTAAATATTCCGCCTATGAAGTCAAGTGGTGACTCATTCACTCATTCTTTTTCACTCATTTCTCCTTGGTAAATAGAGGATAATGTTACCTAGCCCGTGGGTTCCTTGTGAGAATTACATAAGAGAACATATTGAAGGGCTTAATTCAGGGCCTGACATGTAATAAGCGCACAGGGAATACCAGCTATGTTTAAATAAAGTGTTGAAATGGAATTAGAAGATCAGAACTTGTAGGCATACAGAAATAAAGAGCATTGAGGATGAGCGAGTTACTAAAATTTAGTATGAAATTCTGCTCTTTCTAGTTAGCCCAACACACTGGGTAGGTTATATTTGTCTGCGTATGTCAAGGGTTGGCAGACTTTTCTGTGAAGGGCTGGGTAGTAAATGTTTTTGGCTTTTCAGGACACAGAGTTCTGTCACCATTAGTCAGTTCTGCCTCTGCGTCTGGAAAGCAGGCATAGCCAGTAGGTAAATAAACGGGCATGGCTGTGTTCCAATAAAACTTTATTTATAAGAACCGACCATAGGCCCATAGGCTGTAGTTTGCACTTCGGTCTAAATGAGGGAAACCTGTCTGCTGTTGAAAAAGAACAACTTCTGGATTATAAACATTGAGAAAAATTTATGACAAGATGTAGTTTTTTTTTTTTTTTTTTTTTAGATTTTATTTTTAAGTAATCTCTACACCCAACGTGTTGGGCTTAC